AAGCAAGGACAGAAGGTTAGCTACTTGCTAATCAGCCTCTTTGAGCTAGCAGGATTTCTCCTCAACCTTTGAACCCTGAGTTCTATAGAGGTTTAGAAATTTAGATCGAGTTTCCTTTAGTGGTTGTGATAGAGCTGCTGCAGAGTTGCAGTTGCCGGTTGGGACAGCAGTCACTTAAAGTGCAGCCACTGTATTGAATGCAAAATAACATTTTGGTGCACCATAACGTAGTTAGTTTCTTTTCACTCTTTAGGGGCTCACCACCCAGCTCCCAAGTAAGTACACAGAGATTTATTTTTACTTTTATGATTGCCCAGCCTTAACTTGACTTGATTCTTTTTTTTTAATATTTATCTATTTATTATGTATACAATATTCTGTCTGTGTATATGCCTGCAGGCCAGAAGAGGGCACCAGACCTCATTACAGATGGTTGTGAGCCACCATGTGGTTGCCGGGAATTGAACTCAGGACCTTTGGAAGAGCAGGCAATGCTCTTAGTCACTGAGCCATCTCTCCAGCCCTTGACTTGATTCTTGACAACTTTTCTTAAATTATCCTGTTTCTCTCTAGCGCTCTGTTTTTTTTCCAGACAGGGTTTCTTTGTGTAACAGTCCTAGCTGTCCTGAAACTAGCTCTTGTAGACCAGGTTGACCTTGAATTCACAGAGACCCATCTGCCTCTGTGCTACTAGACTGCTGGGATTAAAGGTGTGTGCCACCAATGCCCAACTAAATTATCCTATTTCTCTTTAACTGCATTTTTTGTCTATGGTCTTTTTTATCTTTCTTTATTCTACATATCTTTCTTTTTTTAAGATTTTATTTAATTTTATGTGCATTGATGTTTTGTCTGCATTCATGTCAGCATAGGGGTGTTGGGCTTCCTGGAACTAGAGTTACAGACAGTTGTAAGCTGCCATGTGGGTGCTGGGGATTGAACCTGGGTCCTCTGGAAGAGAGGCCATAGCTGTTAACCACTGAGTCATCTCTTCAGACCTCTACATATCTTTCTTTTCTTCTTACTCTGTGGCTGGCATTCTTCTCTCCTCCTTTTCTTGCTCCTTGCATTTTTCTTCTTTCGAGCCTAGATTTCTCCTCCTATTTATTCTCTTGGCCCGGTAGCCCCACCTAGTTCTCTCTCCTGCCTAGCTATTGGTTGTTCATCTCTTTATTAGATCAATCAGGTGTTTTTTAAAATTATTTATTTATTATGTATATATTATACTGTCTGTGTATGCCTGCAGGCCAGAAGAGGGCACCAGACCCCATTCCAGATGGTTGTACACTACCATGTGGTTGCTGGGAATTGAACTCAGGACCTTTGGAAGAGCAGGCAATGCTCTTAACCTCTGAGCCATCTCTCCAGCCCCCAATTAGGTGCTTTAGAGAGGCAAAGTAACACAGCTTTACAGTGTTAAACCAATGCAACAATATAAAAGAATATAACACGGCTTGCTGCGGAGGAACAGCTATCGGTGTCAGCTTTCGGCCAGCCGAAAGCTGGGGTCTTTGCTGCTGGTCGCCGAGCCTCTTCTTCAGGAGGAGCCATGGCGCTCAGGGTCACTAGGAACACGAAACTTAACATGGAAAATAAGGCCAAGGTCAGCAAGGCAGGTGCCAAACGTGTGTCTGTGGCAATTGCTGCAGCCTCCAAGCCCGGGCTGAGACCAAGAACCGCTCTCGGAGATATTGGTAACAAAGTCAGTGAACAGGCACAGGCAAGAGTGCCTCTGAAAAAGGAACTAAAAACTTCAGTTACTGGGAAAGTTTCAGTTAAAAATCCCACCCAAACTTCTGGAGAAGCTGCCTGTGAGTGAGCCAGAGGTGGAAATTGCTGAGCCTGAGCCTGAACCTGTTATGGAGGAAAAGCTTTCTCCTGAACCTATTTTGGTTGATAGTCCCTCTCCAAGCCCAATGGAAACATCTGGATGTGCCCCTGCAGAAGAGTATTTGTGTCAGGCTTTCTCTGATGTAATTCTTGCCGTGAGTGATGTGGATGCAGATGATGGAGCTGACCCAAACCTCTGTAGTGAATATGTGAAAGACATATATGCTTGCTTATCTCAGACAATGGGCAGAAGAACAGTCAGTTAGACCAAAATACCTACTGGGCCGTGAAGTCACAGGGAACATGAGAGCCATCCTAATTGACTGACTGATACAGGTTCAGATGAAATTTAGGCTGCTACAGGAGACCATGTACATGACTGTTTCCATTATTGACTGGTTCATGCAGGATACTTGTGTGTCCAAGAAGATGCCGCAGCTGGTTGGTGTGACGACTATGTTTATTGCAAGCAAATATGAAAAAATGCACCCTTCAGAAATAGGTGACTTTGCTTTTGGGACTAAAAATACTTACACCAAGCACCAAATCAGACAGATGGAAATGAAGATTCTAAGAGTTCTAAACTTCAGTTTGGGTCACCCTCTGTCTCTGCACTTCCTTCGTAGAGCATCTAAAATGGGAGAGGTTGATGTGAAACAGCATACTTTGGCCAAATACCTCATGGAGCTCACGATGCTGTACCACAAGATGGTGCACTTTCCTCCTCAAATTGAAGCGGGAGCTTTTTGCTTAGCACTGAAAATTCTTGACAAAGGTGAATGGGCACCAACGCTGCAGAACTACCTGTCCTACCCTGAAGAATCCCTTTGGCCTGTTATGCAGCACCTGGCTAAGAATATAGTCACAGTGAACCGCGGCCTTACAAAGCCCACGACCATCAAGAATACGTATGCAACCTCCAAGCATGCTAAGATCAGCACTCTGTGGCAAAGGCATAACTCGAGTAGACCACCACTACATCTGCAAATGCGATTGGCACCATGTGCCGCCTGTACATAGTTTACATTATCTGCTTGTTCTTCAGTAAAGGTGGTTTTACTTTCATAGCTCACCCCATTTGAATGGTTTGCTCTGACTCTAGGATAACAAAAGTTGTCTGAAACATTTAGGAATATTTTTAAAACTGGTTTTAGTTTAACAGGGGATCCAAGTAATGTATATAATTGTAGCCTATGCTTATATACTTCCTTTACTTTATGTGTCCTGATTGTGTCTTTAGTCACACTGCAAAGTCCTCTGCCTATCTCTGGTTTCAACTGTGTATCTACCAGCTTGTCCTTAGTTCCATGTTCTTCAGGTGGTTGCTGCCCTTCACCACTGTCTCTTGAGCTATGGACTTTCATAGCTGAAACCCAGTCTTTTTTTTTTTTTGTGTGTGTAATTATTTACTTGTTCTTAATTGACCTGGAAAATAGAATGTTTAAAACTAAAGGTATCTTTTAAAAGAACTTGCCTCTCAGTCTCAATGTCCTGTATAAATGTAATCATGCATATGTTGTCAAGGAGATATTTTTATACGGGTTCATTTTTTCCCCAACAATATGCCATTCACTGCCTATATTGCATTCATAGTGTGCATTTCGTACTGTATGTATTGTATTCAGTTGTCCCTTCAAAGACATTCGGACTGAATTCTCTCACTGCCTCTGTTATACACAGTGCTGCTAAAATGCTGTTTTGTGCTTTGCTTTCCTAGGGGGGTATGCTTCAAATTCTGACAAAGCCGGACGAGACTCTGAGTATTGGTGGCACTAAACCAAGGTGCCACTTCCTCTGTCTTCTGTCTTGTGACTCTAACTGGCAAAAATCCTGTCTCATTTGCTGTTTTAATTTATACCTCCAATATAAAGTTGAATAAAATTTTATTAATGGAAAGCTAAAAAAAGAATATAGCACATCTTTGCATCATTAAATATTCCACAGCATAAATGAATGCGACACATCCTAGACTAATATTCCACAGCATTTGATCCTCTTGCCTCAGCCTCTCAGGCATAAGTCACCCCACACCAATCTCTCTCTGTTTTTTAAGATTTATTTATTATGTGTGCAGTGTCCTGCATGTACGCCTGAATGCCAGAAGAGGGCACCAGATCTCACTATAGATGGTTGTGAGTCACCATGTGGTTTCTGGGAATTGAGATCCCTGGAAGAGCAGCCAGGGCTCTTAACTTCTAGGCCATCTCTCCAGCTCCCGCCCCCAACCCCTTGCTCTAATTATTTTTTAAAAATGGCTTAAAGTTTATTTTATTTTATGTGTATGGTGTTTTGCCTGCATGTATGATTAGGTGCTACTTGTGTGCATGGCGCCCACAGAGGTCAGAGGAGGGTGTTGGGTTGCCAGGAACTGGAGTTACAGATGGTGATGAACCACCACGTAGGTACTGGGAACAGAGCCCAGGTTCTCCGGAGGAGCAGATAGTGCCTTTTAGCCAATGTGCCGTCTCTCTAGCCCGGCTCTTTAAAGACAGTAAGGGAATATTGTCTGTCTGTCTTGCCACTATAGGGCATCGCAATGACACTCAGGAATTTAAAAACCCAGGAGTTTGAAAAGGCGTCACTGAAAGGTTGACATCGAGAGGAGATCTGAGGGCAGAAGGACGGGAGCCATGCAGTGTCTGGGGTTGAAGAGACATTCTAGGGAGAGGGGTGGCAAGAACAAGTCCTTGAGGAACAGGGGGAAAGGGCCAAGACCCACAGGTCAGAGCAATGAACAGGGTCAGACAGGATGTAAATTGTGGGCCATAAGGAAGACCTTGATTTTTATCCTGATTGAAATCTATACTAACATTTGAAATACTAGCATGAAGAAAGCCTGGGTGCTCTCGGCGCAAGCTCCAGCTCGGAGCTGCAGACTCTGGGCTCAGTTCATTCATTTTCCAAACCTTTGGGGAGGGGGTACTTCGTGCCAGGGGCCTATGCTAGAAAACAGGGAGAAAATACCCTCATTCAGCTATGGAAGAAGAAAGTCTTTCAGGGTTTGGGGAGGTCCTGCCTTCCCACAGGTGCAGGTGGCATTGTCAGTGTGGCTCCGTAAGTGGTCAGCTTGGGAAATGAATCGGTTAACTAACTGCAGACAAGGAGGAAGGAAGCCAGAGACTGTGGAAGTGAGAGTCGGAAGAAGGGGCAGCCCTTGGCGGCTGTCTTCTCTGTGTGCAAAAGGTCCTGTTTCCGCACTGATTCTAAGCTCTGCCCTGGCCTGAGGGGAGGACAGGGATGAGCCAGGACAGGTGGCCTGGACATGAGCTGTCTGCCTGTTGACGACTCACGCTTCTCTTTTAGAACGGTTTCCAGAAGCGGTGGGAGGGGATGGGCAGGGCAGCTAAATATAGCTCTTGGGCCACTGAACTATTGGGAGGGTCTGCCCTCTGCCCAGAATGTGCTTGTCACCTGTTGAGTCCACTGACTGCCATCTGGCCGAGTCCCTGTCCTTGCACCGAGCCTGCTGCTTGCTTCTTGCTGGTCTCTGGACGCAGCTCTGTTCACCCTGCTGGTAGGCCTTTCCCTGACTCTTCTGCCTCGGTTCTTTTCTGGCCCAAGTTCTCCCACCAGATCTGTGAGTCCTGTGGGCCTGGAGATACCGGGAAGGGGAGGGCTGGGTAGGCTAGAGAGGTCAGTGAGCCGACAGTTGGGGAGGGGATTCTGGATAATTCCAGAAGAGTTGGGGCCCAGACATGGATCAGAGGCATTCAGCCTGGGCTAAATCAGGAGCAAGATGTGGATGAGACTGGAACCAGGTCGTGTTTAGAAACTGGGGTTGACAAAGGCCCAGTTGGGTCATATTTGTTTTTATCTGGGCTGATTGGCAATATACACACTCACTTTGGAACAACGCTAAATCCCTTTTACCCGTGGGCCATAACCAGTATGGACTATAAGATAGTAATAGGCTGGGACTCTGGCTGAGAACCCACAGACCTAGTGTGGGACTGAGCTGGAATTCTGTTTTTGGGTCTCTCAGACAGACTCCTCTTCCCAGGCTCATCATGTCTGCTGCACCAGGTCTTCTGCACCAGGAACTGTCCTGCCCACTGTGCCTGACGCTGTTTGATGCGCCAGTGACTGCTGAGTGTGGTCACAGTTTCTGCCGTGCCTGCCTGGTCCGCGTGGCAGGCGAGCCTGCCGCTGATGGCACAGTGCCCTGTCCCTGCTGTCAGGCACCCACGCGGCCGCAGGCTCTCAGCACTAACCTGCAGTTAGCGCGTCTCGTGGAGGGTCTGGCGCAAGTGCCCCAAGGCCACTGCGAGGAGCACCTGGATCCACTGAGCATCTACTGCGAGCAGGACCGCACACTTGTGTGTGGTGTGTGTGCCTCTCTGGGTTCTCACCGTGGTCACCGTCTTCTGCCTGCCGCGGAAGCCCACGCACGCCTCAAGGTGTGGGACCCAGCAGGGGTCAGGCTGGGGCGCAATGGCTGAATAGAACGGGGTCTGACTAAGGGGGAGCGCCACTGCGTGCACTACTATCTTCAGAGCAACCCGGGTTGCTAAAGAGGGTGGGCAGGTTAGGTGACCAGGGGAGGTGGCCAAAAGGCCGCAGGAGTCTTCTTGCTGAGCAAAACTCACGGAACCCGCTGGGAGCAGCATGCACAATAGGTTTTGCCTGGCTGAAGTCCTCCAGCAAGGCTAGAAAAGCCGGAAGGGGATCTGACCAAACCATGGTGTGCCTGGCAGATTGTTACCACCTACCACCCACACGTTTTTTTGATGAACTGGATGAACCTGCTAGATTGGCATGTTTGCAGGATGGGCTATCGGGTAAGGCTAGCTGATGGGGAGTTCAAGGCAAAGCCAGGAGTTCCAGATTCTGGCTGTCCAGTTGTCTACTGTGCAGGTCAGAGGTTCACTCATCCCTCAAGCTGCGAAACTAGTGTGAGTCTGAAGCTCGAGAGGGATGTGGGAAGGGCAAGGCACATTTGGCCAAGGCTCACGGTGGGTGGGTACCCCAGACTCCAGTCTGGGCTGTTATTCTGGTTGGAGCTAGAATAACGCAGTGGTGTTCTCCCAAGTTGCACTAGGAAAAATAAATATACAATTATAGTCAAACGGACATGCCAGCTATACGTGCTTCTACAAGTCATGGGTATCACAGATTACATGCATGCAGATACTAGCAGGTATGTGCCCAGTTGGCCCAGAAAGGTCTGTTATTAAGCATTTATTAGCCTGTGGAAAAGTGAACAGGTGCAGAGGTGGGGGTGGGGTGGGGGAGGAAGTAGGGTCCTGAGCCGTCCTTCTTCAGGCCAGTGGAGCTGCTGCTATTGTCTGCCGCTGAGCTGCCGCTGCTGCTGCGTGCTGCCGCATAGGCCTTATGCCTGGTCTTCACTGGCCTTTGATAGCGATCCCCAAACTTCTCAGGGCCTCGCCTCACAGCCCTCCTTCCTGCTCCTGCCTCGTTCAGTTCAGCTAGGAGTCCACCCAGCCCAGTTTTCTCTTTGCTGACCCTAGAACTCTAAACCTAGCTCACTTTTATCTGAAGAGAGGCTAGAACCTGTGGAATAGATGTGTGAGGCTTCTGGGAACTTGTAAGGAGCAGATGTGGAGCCCCAGTTTCAGTGACCAGCATCAGGGTAGCCCTAAGCTTTAAGCGGTCTGAAGACGGAGATCCTAGAAGAGAGCTGGAAGGCGGAGGGGGCAGGAAGGCTCTGGGACTTGTCCACTTCTGCACACCCATGTCCTGTAGCATGGCAGCTATGAGTTTGGCACCGTGGTCCTTGAAAAAGAAAGTAACCGGCCTGTTGGTGAGGTTGGTGGTATCTAGCGGCCAACTCCCCTCACCTCCCATGATATGTTGAAAGCCCTTAAGAACGCCACTGCTTCAAGCTTGAACTTCTTGAATCAGTCGGCTGTCAGACTCTCCAGCACCTTTTGGACAGGGCTTGTTTACCATGGCTGTGAACCTCTAACTGCAGGCGCCCAGAGCAATCAGGTTAGCCTCAAGAGAGGACATCTGAGGTGGAGGCTGATCTGGCAGCTAGCCAGGGGTACTTGGTTCAGACCAGTGACTTCCCCAACGAACGCCACCTGTGTCTTCAGGTTCCCCAGGGGAGGTGTCACTTGGTAGAAGTGGGGTGTGACTGTTCCCGCTCTGCAGAGGAGGAAACTGAGGGGAGTAAGGCTGGTGAGAAGCAGAGGGGACTGTGGTAGCACCCTTTAGAAGCTCTTCCGAGCCTGCGGTTCAGGGATCCCTAACCAGCCCACAGTGGGATTTAGCTGACTCATAGCGGGTATGCACATTACATTTTCTGTTCTCAGAGCCCATAGGTATGTAAAGGGGCTGAGTAGAGCTCAGGCCCCTGGGACAGGATTTTTAAATAAGGGGCGAAATCCAGGATGGGAAGATGGCATTCTTCTTCCTCCTTCTCCTCCTTCCTCTTCTTCCTCCTCCTTCCTCTTCTTCCTCCTCTACCCTTCCTTCCTTCCTTCCTTCCTTCCTTCCTTCCTTCCTTCCTTCCTTC